GCATGCATCTGTTTGCATGAGCCTGTTTCTGTGTGCATGCATTTGTGTATGTGATTGTGTTTCTGTGTGCGTAAATCTGTGTGTGTGATCGTGTTTCTGTGTGTGTGCATCTGTATATGTGACCCTGCATGCATCTGTGTGTGTGATCATGTTTCTGTGTGCCTGCATCTGTGTGTGTGATCATGCTTCTGTGTGCATGCGTCTGTGTGTGTAATCATGTTTCTGTGTGTGTGCATCTGTGTGTGTGATTGTGTTTCTGTGTGCATGCATTTGTGTGTGTGATCACGGGTCTCGGTACGTGCATGTCTGTGTGTGGTGGTGTTTCTGTGTGTTCATGTGTCTGTGTGTTTTTGTCTTTGTGCGTGCACTTGTGTTTGTGAGCATACATCAGTGTGTATGATTGTGTGTTTTGTGTGCGCATGTGTGTGTGATTGTGTTTGTGTGCGTGCATGTGTGTGTTTGATCTTGTGTCTCTGTGCATGCTTTTATGTGTGTGACCCTGTTTCTGTGTGCATGCACGTGTGTGTGATTGTGTTTCTGTGGGCATGCATTTGTGTGTGTGATCCTGGGTCTGTGGGCATGCATTTGTGTGTGATCCTGTGTCTGTGTGTGCATGTGTGTGTGTTGTCATGTTTCATTGTATGTTCATGTGTCTGTGTGGCCATGTGTCTGTGTGCCTACACCTGTGTGTGTGATCGTCTGTCTGTGTGTCTCTATGTGTGATTGCATTTCTGTGTGCGTGCACCTGTGCGTGTGATTGTGTGTCTGTGTGCATGCATGTGTCTATGCCTCTGGTTCTGTGCATGTGTGTTTGTGTTCGAGTGTCTGGTGCATGCTTGTGTGTGTGTGTGTGTGTGTGTGTGTGTGATCGTGTGTTGCGCTGCATGCATGTGTTTTTGTGTTCGTGTTTCTGTGTGCATGCATCTGTGTGTGTGATGGTGTGTCTCTGTGTGTGCATCTGTGTGTGATTGTGTTTCTGTGTGTGCATTTGTGTGTGTGATCGTGGGTCTCAATGTGCATTTGTGTGTGGGGTTGCATTCCTGTGTGCCTTCATGTGTGTGTGTGGTGGTGTGTCTGTGGGTGTACACCTGTGTGTGTGGTTGTGTTTGTGTGCATGCATCTGCATGTGTGATCGCACTTCTGTACGTGTCAATCTGTGTGTGTGAGACCGTGTGTCTGTGTGCTTGCATCTGTGTGTGATCATGTGTCTATGTTCGTGCATCTGTGTGTGTGTGCATCTGTGTGTTTGACTGTGTGTTTGTGTGAGTCCATGTGTGTGTGTGATCATGTGTCTGTGGGTGCATGTGTGTGTGTGGTTGTGTTTCTGTGTGCATTCATGTGTCTGTGTGGTCGTGTGTCTGTGTGCCTACACCTGTGTGTGTGATCGTGTTTCTGTGTGCATGCATCTATTTGTTTGATTGTGTGTCTGGGTACGTGCATGTGTGTTTGTGATCGAGTGTCTGGGTTTGTGCTTGTGTGTATGTGATTGAGTATTGTGATGCATGCATGTGTTTGTGTGATCGTGTTTTTGTGTTTGTGCATCCGTGCATGTGATCGTGTTTCTGTGTGCATGCATCTATGTGTGATCATGTTTCTGTGTGTGTGCATTTCTGTGTTTGATCATGTTTCTGTGTGCATGGATGTGTGTAAGTGGTCGTGTTTCTATGTGTATGCATTTGTGTGTGTGATCGTGTTTCTGTGTGCCTGCATCTGTGTGTGATCGTGTTTCTGTTTGCATGCATCTGTGTGTGTTATTGTGCTTCTGCATGCGTGAATCTGTGTGTGTGATCATGTTTCTGTGTGCGTGCATGTGTATGTGTGATTGTGTTTCTGTGTGCCTGCATCTGTGTTTGTGATCGTGTTTCTGTGTGCATGCATCTGTGTGTGTGATTGTGTGTCTGTGTGCATTGATCTGCATGTGACTGTGTGTTTGTGTGCATGCATGTGTGTGTGATCGTGTGTCTGGGTGCGTGCATGTGTGTGTGGTCATGTGTCTGTGTGCGTGCATCTGTGTGTGTGATTGTGTGTCTGTGTACGTGCATCTGTGTGTGTTCTTCTCTGTGTGTGGTCATGTTTCTGTGTGCGTGCGTGTGTGAGATCTTGTATCTGTGTGTGCGCATGTGTGTGTGATTGTGTTTCTGTGTGTGTGCATCTGTGTGTGATTGTGTGCATGCATCTGTGTGTCTGATTGCGTGTTTGTGTGCATGCATGTGTGTATGTGGTCATGTGTCTGTGTGTGTGCATTTGTGTATGTGGTCGTGTTTGTGTGTGTGATCGTGTTTCTGTGTTCATGCATCTGTGTGTGTGATCAGAGGTCTCGGTACATGCATGTGTGTGTGTGGTCATGTTTCTGTATGCGTGCATCTGTGTGTGTGTGATCGTGTTTCTGTGTGCGTGCATCTGTGTGTGTGTGATCGTGTTTCTGTGTGCGTGCATCTGTGTGTGTGTGATCGTGTTTCTGTGTGTGTGCATCTGTGTGTGTGCGTGTGTGTCTCAGTCATGCATGTGTGCGTGTGATCGAGTGTCTCGGCACATGCACCTGTGTGAGTGATCATGTTTCTGTGCGTTCATGTGTGTGTGCGTGATCATGTGTTTGGGTACATGCATATGTGTGTGTGAGCTTGTGTGTGTGTGAGTGGGCGGAAGAGAAGGGCATTCGACACAAGCAGACTGTCTGGGCAGAGGGGAGCAACCTGCAGTCTTCGACTTGTAAAGGTTTTAATTAGCACACGTGCATAAAAGTAAATGCACACAGGTAAAGGAAAGAATGTGAAAAAGTCTTCGTGCAGCTTTCCTAGTCCTCAGCATTGAACCGACTCATTTTCTAAGTAGGGGCGGGCCCGGGGATGAGAGCCGCGGGAGCTAATGTTTCTTGAGGCGACAGCAGGCTAGGACCTGCGTACTCACTCAGAAGAAGGGCTCATGCAGTGCTGAGGCAGGGGCCGTGTGGCGCCGGGCTGGGGGTGGGAAGGACTGAGCACTATTATTTTGATCACTCTTTTTTCTCGTTCTTGCTCCAGTTTACTTTTTTCTTTACCAAGCCACGTGGGCTTAACTTAGCTACCCGCCCTAGTTCGCCTTTGGTCGTCCCGGGGTCTCCATCTAGTGAGGGGGTCACATCCCCGTGAGGCTTGCATGACAGTGTGTCCCTGTGCCCAGCTTCCCAGCAGACCGATGGGCAGGGTGCTGGGAGAGGAGTCCTCCTCCCCGTGCCTTTAGCACCTGCTTGCTTGGCTTTGGCTGGGCGTCACTTTCCGGGCATTGTCCCATGCTGTCCCCTCCGCCGCCCCAGGAGGTGTGAACACCGTGGTCCCCTTTGCTAGACACAGCTCTGCTAGTGCCGGTAGTTTCCGCTCTGTCTCCTGTCTTGGCTTGTGAGCCCCCAGGGAGAGCTGGGAGTTACCGCCTTGTCTCAGTCACGGTCCATGGCCTGACCTCTGACCCAAGAGCTGGTAGGGCTGGGCTCTGGAAAACAAACCCAAAAAATCCCATGTAAGAGCATCCCTCGGATGGCTCTGAGGACAAGGTCCTCTCCTAGTTGAGACTGCAGAGGTGGCAAAAGGGGCAAAGTGAGGAGCAGTCAAGGTCGGAAACAGCTGTTTGTGGTGGGTTTTGTCCTGTGCATTTGGGGTCCAGTCCATAGGAAATGTGCTGGCTGTTAATTGAACACAGGGTGCAGAGGGCGGTGGCACTGCTGTTGTTTTATTTGCTCGCCGAAGGTCCCATCCAGCACACTGCTCCCTCTCCTCTTTGACATTTTCAGTAATAGGCAGGTATCCTGAGATTTGGTGGCGGGGACAGTCAGCCCTGCCTGTGAATGACTGGCATGTATCCACTGTGTTAAGATCAGTTGTCTTAGAGGCACTCTGCGAGCTCCTCGAGGACGAGTGGAGACCTTGTCTAACTTTTCTCCAAGACCCAGCCCTGCTACAGAAGGAACGATTTCTGCTGAGTGCCACCGTGCAGGGGAACGCAGGGGCCCATGGCATTCAGCACAGCCTGGACGGTGACAGTGGGTCAGCACTTTCCCGTGATCAGCACATCTGGCCTTTGACCTGATCCACAGGGTGTCAGCTTCTTACCTTCCACCGACAGCTGTGCCGAGGTTGGTGGGGCACTCAGGGCTCAGTCCCGGGACCACTTATTGGGTGTCCATGCTTCCGGGTGCCGGGGCGAGGGAGGGTGAGCATAGTTCCCGCCTGTAAGGAGCCCCCTGGGCTGCTCAGGGAGACGGAGGAAGGTGCCTAGGCCTCGGGGAGCCTCGGGGAGCAGAGGAGGGGCAGCCTGCATGGCCTAGGGAGCCCACGGAGGCGGAGGAGCTGCTGGTCCGGAGGAGGCCGCGCCCTGTGAGCAAGACAGGTCTGGGGCCTGAGCCTCTGCCCTCAGTGCCAGCACTGCGGTGTCTGTTGGCACTGCTGGGTGTCAGGAGCGGCCTAAGCTGTTTTCTGAGGGTGCGGGAATTCAGGCTCTGGGTGGGCCCTGCCTTCGCCTCACCCCGCTTTACCTAGCTTGGAGCTGGGAGCTCCTTGCATTCTTATCCCTCCTGGCTCTTTGACCAAAGAGGTTTTGTGCAGGCTGTCTGGGACATTCTGCCAGTCACGACCCTGTCAGTGCTCTGGATGATGGGTGGAAGGGTCCACGAGGGGACAGGAAGGAAAACATTTGAAAATATGGAAATACTGCCATGTCCCAGAATCTGTCCCGTCTTTCTTATTGTTTGTTTTTATTGCATTTTTGTTTACTTACTTATTTGCGACAGGATCTCACCATGTAGCACAGGCTGAACTCGAACAGGCGGCCATCCTCTTGCCTCAGCCTCCAAGTGCCGGGATGACAGTTGTGCACCACCACACCTGGCTTGCTCCATTTTTCTGACCACAAAAAAGGGAACAGTGAGTTCCAGGTGAACTCAGAACTAGGAGAAGTCCTTAAAGGGAGGCGCGGGGCCGCAGGCCCTGTGGGGAGACGCCTTCCACCTTCCCTTGTGGTGGGCTGCCGCCTCAGCGGCCCCGGCTTTCCAGGAGTCTCCTGAGGGCGCCCTTGACTTCTTTGTTCCTCAAACTGTAGATCATAGGGTAGAGCATGGGGGTCACATTGGTGTAGACCAGAGACACAATTTTGTCCTGTTCGGGAGTGTAGCAGGACTTGGGGCGACTGTAGATGAATATCGCACAGCCGTAGTGCAGAAGGGAGACCAGGAGGTGGCCGGCACAGGTGGAGAAGGCTTTGCTTCTGCCCTCCGCTGAGTGGATCCTGAGGATGGCAGCGATTATGAACCCGTAGGAGAGCAGGATGAGCAGGAAGGGAATCAGCAGGATGAGTGTGCAGACGAGGAAGACCACAACCTCATTGGCTCGGGTGTCGGAGCAGGCCAGGAAGAGCACGGCAGGGATGTCGCAGAAGAAGTGATTGATCTCGTGGGACTGGCAAAAGGGCAGGAGGAATATCAGTACCGTCAGGGTGAGCGAGAGAGCGAAGCCACTAAGGCACGCGGAGGTCAGCAGCTGCAGGCACAGGACCCTGGTGACGGTGAGTGTGTAGCGTAAGGGATTGCAGATGGCCACGAAGCGGTCGTAGGCCATCGCGAGCAGCAGGAAACACTCTGCCCCACCCAAGGCAATGAAGAGGTGCATTTGTAGAGCACAGCCAAGGAAGGGCATCTGCTGGCTTCTGGACAGGAAGTTGGCCAGCATGTTGGGGACAATAACCAACGTATAGCAAATTTCAATGGCGGACAGGTTCCGGAGGAAAAAATACATGGGGGTCTGGAGACAGCTGTCAATGAGGGTGACGAGCACAATGGTTGTGTGCCCTGCTAGGGTGACCAGGTGCATCACTAGCAACAGTCCGAAAAAGAGGATTTTCAATTCAGCCAGCTCCCCAAAACCCAGGATAATAAACGCAGAGCTTAAGGTGTGGTTTTTCTGCCACAGGCTCATCCTGTATTCTCCTGTGAGGAACTCTTAGCCTGAAAAGAGCAGTTTGCTAGTGGTTCCTACCTGAGCCCTGTCCTCAGAGGGGAGCAAGGCCAGCTGCTTCAGGCTCAGCCAGGGCTCTGCTCTGTTAGCTTCTTGAATTCTGCCCTCTGCTCAGAGAGAATGAAGGGCTGCTCAAAGAAGGCCACTTCAGTTCTCTGGCTGAGATATGGCAAAGAGGAGCCAACGTGAGCGAATCATAAATATGAAGTTGTTTTTCACAGATCTAAAGATAATGTTCAGTCAGGGCTGTTCTGCAATTTGAAGCGTTCTCTGGGAAGGGCGTGGAGGTCCAGGCTTGATGTACTCAGTGAGTTCATGTGGGCCTGGGCCTAAAGGGCTGTGGAAGTTGCTGTAAGGAGTTCAGCAGGAAGGAAGGCCTAGGAAGTTTGTGACTGTGTGCGTTAGCTAGATTGTCTTTTCCTTACTACGCCCCACCCGCAGACTCCTAGGATTCCCGAAGCTGACGGGGGTGGACTGGCCACGAGAGAGGACGCACACACAACCCTGGGTAGCTGCTGCCTGCCCGGTCTGTGTCTGACTTCCTCCGTTGCATGCAGGCCTCCGTGTAGGTGTCCCTTCCTTCCAGACACCGCTTCTGGTTCCCTGCTTTGGGCTAGTGCCTTCCCTGTGTTCCCGCCTCACTCTGGGCTTTGCTGATCATGTTATTTCTCACTGACTCTTGTAATTCTGTGATTATTTCCCTGTCCACCTCAGCAACCGGGCTGGCAAGAATGGGGCCTCATTCAGCTTCTGCAACAGTGGCTGGCGCAGGTTAGGGGCATCACAGACTTTCCTTGCGTGAATGCCTGGTGCTCGTGTCTGCTTCCTCCGCAATTATTCACAGAGCAGGTGTAGAGTGAGAGAGCAGAGCACAGAGGGCTGGGCCGGGCCACAGGTGGGAGCAAGCAGAGTTAGGAGAGAGACAAGGGCAGTGAGACTCCATGCCAGCCGAGCCCTTGGCCGATTTGCTTCCCAGACTTTGGGAAGTTACTTCCTCCTTGCCTTGGCAGGACTCGACTTACAAGCAGAAAGGCTTGTTTTCAGCCTCCAGGTTTTTCCTGTGCACCCCTTGGCTGGAGTAGTGGAGAAGAGGAGCGGGTTTCTGAATATGCTAGAGATCCAGCAAGTGAACACTCAGTAGGCGTTGAGCTAAGGGAGGTGGAGTTGTCCCCCAGCTAGCCCACTCCCCAGGGTAGCCCCTCCTGGCTCTCTGCCTGTGGGGCTGGTGAGGCCGGAGAGCCTGTCTGGATGCCGGGTTTGCTGGGCACAGATGGGAGTTCCAGTCCCAGGTGTCCAGCTCCTTGCACGTTACACCGGGTAGTATTTTAGTTTCTATTTACTCCAGGCTCACCTGGAACCTCTGAGCTGGACAGATCCCTAGAGGGCAAAGTGTTTACATCTCATTTCAAAGCAGACTGTCACAAAGCCTTCTTCCCTGGGTGCCCCACACCCTGTATCTGCCGCCCCCCTCCAGGCCTTGCCCTGGAAATCACCCTAAGTCCCTGCCAAAGACCTCTGTCGCAGTGGAGCCTGTCCCAGCTCAGGCTTTCCTGCTTGCATGTCTCCTCTCTTACGTTCATGGGAGCCCAGAGGACTGAAGGGGTCAGGGTGACCAGCTTGCTTCCAGGCAGGGGACCCCAACGGCATAAGCTTAGCCCCTTCTGTAGCCGGTTTAGCCTCCTGCCTTCCACATGCTCAGTCTTCCCATGCCCTTCCATCACCCCACATAACTCTTTGAGAGACAGTGTGCTTCTTGGGTCCCATTTGTCTTTCTCAGCCTTGGACCCTTGGCTTCAGCTTTGCCACACTCAGTCACTTCCTCCCTTTTCTCCCCTGCCACTGCTGCAGAGATCTGGGGCTTGCTTTGGGCCATAAACCTCAGAAATACCAAAACACACATACACAAAAGGAAGTCACACACACGCCAAACGCTTAAAAAGGAAGAAGTGAAGATCAAGGTGAGTGTCTTCTCCTTCATTCCTTTCCTTCGTTCTCCAGAGAGAAAAATGCCTAGCAGTATGGGGCACTTCCTTCCCCGTTTGGCCCCTGAGTATAAACAGGCTCATGCACTCACGTGCCACAGACACATGCATGCGTACATTACTGCCACACTGCCGCTTACTGACACACATTCTCACTGCTTGCACTTACTGACACACATTCTCACACACTTATATGTGTACACAATCACCCTAGGCATGCAACAAAATGTTCAGTGGGATCACAGTATCCTAACCAAGTGTGCTGAGAATTGGGCACGGCGACACGTGTGTGTAATCCCAGTTACTCAGGAGGCTGACTCGGGAAGATCCCAAGTTTAAGACCAGCTAAGTCTCAAGTTAAAAATAAAATTGAAAATGGGCTGGGAATATAGCTCCAGGGGTAGGGCCTCTGTCCCAACAACCGAACAAGAAGCTCCCCCAAACAAGCATGCCCCCCAATACAACAAAAACAAATCGATTACCCTTCCTGTAGTAATGTCACTTCATAATATGCCCCGCAGTTTTCCATCAGCGCATGACCTCGTCCCTCATTCTTTTTAACTGCTGCACCTCACAGTGCAGATACAACTACACTTCAGTTAATTAAGTTCAACTGTTAACAGTACACACATGGCAACACTATATCTAAGCAATAATACAGCGTAGCAAAGCAGGTCATAACTTAATCATTCCCTGGTTAGTTGGCTCTGGGAGCAGTTTGCTGTTCTGCTCCTTCTGCTCAGGGGGGCAAGGCACGTCTCAGGGCAGAGCCCAGTGCAGCAGCCGGACTCGTCCTTGCTGCTTCTCCTCTCTGCACCCTACAGAAGCCGCCTTGGGTTACCTGGGAGGGCCAGACTGCTGCTGAAGCAGAGAGCTGGGGAGAGCCCTGTTGCAGGTTCTGGTGCTGGGGGGGGACCATGGAAGATAAAGAGCCCACCCATCCTCAGGGGAGCGACAGGGGGCTGCGTGGCCCCAGCCGCAGCCTGCAGGTCAGCTTCCCGGAGCCCAGACGGTGGCTTGCGCCCTGCCTGGACCGCAGGGAGCAGCTCTCGGAAGTATTGCTGATGGCTGTTGGGAAGGTCCTTAGAGGAGTTGCCGCAGCCTGAACGTGTGTGAAATAGAGGTGAAGGCAGGACTCAGTCCTAGGAGAGTTCAGGGAGGAGGCTGCGCCCCAAGCCACCCGCCGAGGGGGCCTGCCATCCCCAGGTCACAGAGCTGAGCCTAAACCCAAACCCCAGTGGCTACTGTTTTATTTGCAAGCCCTGGTTCTGCTGCAGGTCCCGACGGTGCTGTTGAAGTCAGAGTCACTGAAAATGCAGGTCCCCGTATGCAAACACCCACTCTGTGAATGGGCCTTGGGCTGATAGAAGAGGCGGAAAGCGCGCCTTGTTGGCTCAGGCCAAAGGCAGTGAGCGATCAAGCCTGGCTAGAGAAGATGAAACGTGGGCAATGGAGCGTGACACGGGTGGCCTCTGGAGGCCCCTCTCTCCATCCCGCGGAGAGTCTGTGTGGTAGTTAGGAGGAGGCAGAGGCAGGGATCTTAGGGCCTCCACTTTAGTCTGCAGACCGAATCCTAACGTGGCCTGAGTGACCCGGGAAATAAGAGCTATGGAGCTGGGACAATGAATAATCCCCCCAAGCTGTTGTCACTTCTCCAACATTCCACTGCTTAGAGCACCAGCACAGTGCTGGGTTGTAGGCAGCAGCATCAGGAAGAAAATCTTCTCCTCAGCCTCCTCTTTCATCCTGAAGCAGGAAACAGGGGTCCCAAAGAGCCCTGTCCTACCCAGTCCTGAACCCTTGTAGAAGTTTCTGCCTGTCCCCGGATACTCGGTGCACACGGCGCACTTCCCAGCCCTCCATGTTCCTCTTCCTTCTTCCCCCTTCCTCCTCTGTGACCTCCCTCTCCTCTGGGCCACAATTTCCCAAACCAAAGCTCTTTAGCTTTTAACCGAGACAAAGGCCATGGAAACTTTGTTGTCTTAAGCACCTGCAGAATAGGCCTTGGGAAAAGTGCCGAGCCGTGATCTTGTCCTGCGTGTGGCAGACGTGCGGGCCTATTATGAAGTCACTGAGCCTAACTAACATTAAGGACACTTAGAATGGAAGCGCCTCAGATGAGGCCTAAGTAACAGGGGCTGCTGCTGCTGCCGTTTGGGCAGTTCCTACATGTTGTGAGGTAGTGGTACAGAATCACAGCAAGCTGGCACTGAATGAACGGCACCTGCTCCTGCGGGTGGCGGGTGGTGGTGGCTCAGACTTCGGTGTTGTGGTCCCACAAACTGTCCAGAACCTCCAGCTGAGTAGGAGCAGAGCGGAGGACAGAGAAAGTGAATTGAGACTTGTGGGCCTTTCAGCGTCCCCTCCCAAGGTCAAAGGATTTATTTTCGGCTTTTCTCATTAGTCTTTGGACTTGAACTCGCCAGGGGAAGTTTGAAGTTTACCAGCTCCCCAGGATTAGCCATTGTGGGAGAGGGTTCAAATCTGGGACACCTTGGAGGTTGGACTTTTATATTAGTGTGTAATAGATTCATTTGCTCTCCCGTGGGATACGCTGGCAGTGATGGTTAGAAATGATTTGGGGTGAGGAGAGAGAATGAGCACTGACATTTTAGAGGTGGGGTGTGGCCTGCAGAGGTGCCTCACTGGGGACATGGCCTGGAAGGGTGCTTCTCCCTCCCAGATCCTCCCCTCTTGTTGCTCCCAGCTCCTGTAGCCAGCAGCTCTCCTTGCCCAACCAGGCCCTCTGCCCCACCTTGTGGCCTGGAGCTTATAGACCATGCTTGGACTGAGACCTCCAAAACCGCAGATTAAGATAGAGCTCTTCACCTATGCTGCGGATCAAGCTAGAGCTCTCCGCCTGAAGGTTGTGGGTGTTGAGCATTGTGTCTTGGCGATGAGGGAAGTGACTAAGAGGTATGAAAGTTATGGTACCTATTGTTGATTTTGTCATGTTTTGAAGTCCTGGATCTTTTACAC